CGTGCTGAGATTTTGTCAGACACCAACCCATTCTGGCTGATCAGACTTTCAAGATAAGTGGAGTTGTCGAAGCGTTTGACTACTTCACTCCCTATCATTAGTTCAGGTGTTGACGCAGGCCAGTCCTGAAACCAAAACTTGCATTTGGACAGCAAGAAACGCATCCCACTCATCCTGGCATTGTTGCTCAGTACTACCGAGAAACTGCATTTTGTCAGCGTTTTCACCAAACAGGACTGTCATGTGTGTATTCCAAGTTAATAAGTGGACATCCTGGTAGGTGATCAATCCCTGAAATTTCGGTGATTGTTGGGTAAGAATCGAAAATATACAGAAAAAATACGTCCTTTTATGGTTATTAGCGTTGGTCATAACATCATTATAATTCAGCCAGACGGCAAGAAGTCACGTTATGCTACTATCCAATCATAGCATTCTACATTTATATTCTAGGATGCTGCATTATGTTCTAATTGAATCGAAACTATTTGACTTCTTTAGGGTCTCGAGAGGCTCTGTTGTGCTTCTTGAAAGTCGTTACAACACATATATTTGCAAATTTTTTCATTTATTTATCGCATATATTATTTATTTGGGATTTAATTATTTTAATCAGAGAGGGGTTTTGTGGATATTATGATAATTTAACATTTGAATTGATGAGTCTATTAAATTTAGATCACCATGTAAACCTGGAAGCACTGTTTCGTCCTAGTGTGGGATTCCTCAGCAGAGCGCATCCACGATCCCACCTCACAAAATCCGAACTCAGGATCTATCGGGATCGCAAGCGAGCGCCTAACCGTTAGACCACTGAGCCAGCATTCAACGGTGTTAATGTTTAACTCCAACCAATCCGCGAGATTGCGCCACTGCCCCCCAATGAGTTACCATTTCAAAACAGAACCGGTTGAACTGCACTAGTTTCATACTAGGACGAAACGGCTGTCCAGTGTTTCCAGATTTTCCATAAAGTTCTGGCTTCAATAAACTTATGGATTCAAATATTTAATTATTTGTTTAAAGATTTTCTTCTCAAGTTGACATTACTTACTTACTTATGCCTGCTACTCCCAATGGAGACAGATCATCTACAAAGTCTAAATCGTCCAGCTGACAAGTTGAAATTAATTAACTGACTTTATGATTGGGAGTAAAACTGTATGCCTGACAAACTAATTATACTCAATCCAACTGAGATTGGAGTAAATTCAATAAACGATTACTAATAATGATGCTAATTCACTTAGTATTATTTAGCTGAGTCTTCCCATTGATGTTTAGGACTGCAATTGATCCCATCTCTTATTGGCATATGTGCATACTGTGCGTATTGCCTTGATCAATGGGAAAATTCAAACAAATAATAACAAGTGAATTTAGATCTCACCTCATTGTATAAGCAAGTGGATATCAGGACTCAGTAGTTAGGTGGATAACGCGATGGCGTTTGGAGCGAAAGGTATTTGGTTCGAATCCCAGAGTGAACATCAACCCTGAGATGCAGATACGTCCATCTGACGAGTCCCCAATAGGACGAAACGCACATCCTGGATTCCACTGCTAGCCTTTATCCATCTTTGCTAATGTTGAAACTTTATTCTGTTCGATTGATGATTGACTACAGAGAATTGTGATTAATCAAAGATATTTCTAGTAAATCATTTATACCAGAACTTCTTTATCATTTGTGATCTATCAATTAGAATTTATGGCTTTTAGCCAAAATGTTTTGGAGCCAAATTTTATAGTTATGATTATACTTTAATGGAATTTCAACTGTACATGGTCTATACTAACATCGTATACTGTCTTGGATTCAAACTCATTGTTCAATTGGGTACTATTAACAATATAATATTAAAAATCAGTCATATGAGGATCTATGGCAAACACGATGAATAAGTAGATTGAGTTTAAACCAACAGAAAAAGTGAATAGATTCAATCACCATGACAACTAAATATGAAGTATATTACTGAATTGTATGTATAACAGAATAAACAGATCTGAATTAGGTGACATCATGAGTCAATTGAAGCTAGACCACCATAGAAAACCTGGAAGTACTGGACGGCTATTTCGTCCTATTATGGGACTCCTCAGCAGTACGCATCCATGATTCCGTCACGCGCGCGAGCACTTAACCTCCAGACCACTGAGTTGGCGTCCAACGGTGTTAATGTCTAACTTCAAGATCAGAATTAGTTTACATCATTTAATTGCTATTCAAATTTTAACAAAATAATCAAGATATACATAATGAGACTACTTCATCGATGAAACTAAAATTTATGAACGACCTTTGAGCAACGCTAAAATGATCTTGAAGATGTTCATTTACTTACCAGGGTTAAATGATGGTTATAAACTTGTATGAGGAATTAGAATTATCATTTACAGTTGATGGTTTAAGTTAGGAATTAGATTTAGGTTTTTCATTACTAATCGACATTAGTTATCATACCAAAACTCTATTCAGCCAAATAAACGAACGCATTTCGCGCCAAGATTCGGGACTTATTATCTTATACGTGATTGGTTCGTTCACAAATTATAGTCTCATCTTTTTGTCTTATCGTCACATGCATACTACCTCTTAGGGAAGTCCTACTCACTATTGCCTTCTCACCATAGTATTACTGTTGTTTACGAAACTGTGAGAACGAAAATTAAATGTCCGTCACTTTAACCGGGTTGGTGAACACGGAAAGTCCACACCTAGGGAAGTCGGAAAACCCTCATTACAAACCAATTATGAACACGGGCTCCAGGATCCCGAAGGAACAAAAGGCGTATGAATCACCGGCTAACATGGGACTGCATCACCTTACATTGCTCCACCGTCTTGTAAATTAGACCAAAGGCTTGTAGTTTGTTCCTTTAAGAAAATTACCTGTTTCGGTTTGGGCAACCGGGCAGTATCATAGTCTTCACACACATTGAATGATTTACGTGGTGCAAATATATTTGATGTCTCCTTGTACCAATGTTTATGTGTTTAAATAAATAAATAGATGGTAACATTTAATCTCTTGTTCAATTCTCATATTTTAACTGAGTAAATAATAGGATTAACTGGGTCCTACATTTTCTTTATAATGAATACTAGTTGTCCATACAGCAACTCCTGAAAAATTAGCTTAATATATTCAGTCAAAGGATGCTTCAGACATGCTAGTCGACGACTTTTCAACTAGTAAGCGTTCATAGATATTCCCGAATGAATTTATGTCACCGGGTAACTTTTTATGGTCAAGAAGTCGCCAATATTCTTAATTTCACCAAGCCGAGTTATACAATATTGATGATTAATGGACACTACATGATAGCGACAGTGCAGTCATGTTGTACAATGAAATATCCTAGTATTTAAATCCAATATACTTAATGTTATTATGACTCAGTTTTCTAAAACCTCGATTTTATGGTTTCGATAACTATGTGGTTGATTAGCGGTGAAAAGCTCGATTTTTGACCACTGGTTACAGGTTCCAACTCCACTTCATAACATACATCATCAAAGGTGGTTGTTACATTTTCCTAACCAACGCCTACCAATAACACCTAATCCCGGTTGATATAGGCGTACGTTAAAAAATAGTTAAGGATGAGGAGACTAGGACATGTCGGTTGGTACACAGTTCTTATTTTCAATTAATTCAATACTTGTAGTTAATTTTTGTAGATATAAGGGTGACATGATGTAAAATCGATTGCAATAGCATCCACTCTTTATCTTTCTATCGATCTCATTCCTTTCTTTTGAAGTATACACTTCCCATGTTTAAATTTCCAATGATTCCTATCTTATATCATGAGTCAATTTAAGAGTTAGACTACCATAAAAAACCTGGAAGCACCGGACAACCGTTTCGTCCTATTGTGGGACTCCTCAACGGCAGTGCGCGTCCAAAATCCTGCCTCGCAAGACAAACCCAGGGTCTATCAATCTCGCACGCGAGCGCTTAACCGCTAGACCACTGAGCAAGCCGGCATCCAACGGTGTTAATGTCTAACTTCAACCAATCCACGAAATTGAGCAACCATTCACCGTTGTCTTCAGTGAGTTGATAACTCACAACAGACCTGGTTGAACTTCACTGGTTATTTTATTAATTTCTTCCCTCATTACACTGATATGATTTATGAGAATTAGGACAAATGTATGGCAGATATGCACTTACCAATATGATTAAAACCAACAATGATTTCATAGACTAATGTAATATCTTGACTTTTCCCAACCTTTTCTCCCAACGAAGATTCTATTCCAGTCAACATAGTTCATCAAGGTAGACTGTAATTTGGCAATCGAATTATGGTTACTTTTTTGTAACTGCTACTGTAATGTGGGTTACTTATATCCACATAATTAGTATATAACGATGGTCAAGTGAAGAGTGTATTCCAGTAGAAGATCGATAAGGAGAGAACAGGAACGGAACGCAACTAGTATGAAAATGCATGAGCAATAATAATCGGAGACTATGGACTAATATTTGCAAAAGGAATGGTCAAGATTGAGACAATGGATTGATAGTTTGTAAATTAACTGTTTACTTAGTATACTGTGCGTATTGCACATATACCAATTAGAGACTGATCAGTTGCAGTTCTAATGAGCAATAGATAGATACAAACAAACAATACTAAGTGAATTTAAACTTTATCCTATTGCACAAGCAAGTGGCTATGAGGACTCAATAGCTGAGTGAATAACGCGATGGCGTTTGAACATCAAACGGTACTGGGTTCGAGTCTCACAGTGAACATTAATAAATCTGAGATACAGGTACATCCAGCTGACTAGTCCCAAATAGAATGAAATGCATGTCAAACTGTATTTCACTGCTAGCAACTATCCATCTTTAGTTTACTGTATGGTTGTCCTCATTCATGTTCTCATTCACTAAACTATTATACGCTACGAATATCACCTATCACCTAATTTGGATGAGTAAAATTAGTCGGGTTTTTTTTTTGATAGAAAAACAGAATACCATGAAAGTTTTTTTTCTCACTTTTTTTGTTTATTTAATTAGGTTCAACATTTGGTACAATGAGGAAGAAAAAAAAAGAAAGAAAAGAAAAGAAAACAAAGAGTAATAAAAAAGCTAGGCGGTAGAGGGAGGGGGAACACGCAAAATTACAACACACAAACACACATAGATAATATATACCATGTATATTACTTAAATTAATTAAAATGAAAATTGAAAGATTTCTATCCAAATAAAAATTATAAATAAATAAAAAAAGAGAATGTAATGAAACATGATGAAAGTAATTCATTGGTCACATGTACATACACCTACACATACACACCTAGACTGTACATACACAAATTGGGAGGGGGGAGAAGATTGTGCAATGTAAGAAAAAAAAGAAGAAGAAAAACAAATGTAATCAACACAAACAAAGAAGGGGCGGCGGGGGGGGAAGGGTAAACAGAGATAAACAATGAATAAACTATCGAAATTTGAAACAAAAAGAATACATAGAATAGTTTCAATATTTGAAAAATAATTCTATTCATGTTGTTGATCAAGATGACACAACAACAACAACAACAAAAAACGAAGGTAATTGATAAGTTTACAAGATGAAAAAGAAGCAATATGAATCAAACAAGTACATTGTTATCAGATAGTATTAGTAGTAATAGTGGCAGTAGTAGTAGTAGTAGTACTATTCATGACATACACTATTACACTTCATGAAGAGATGGATAGATCATAATCATCAGGAATAGTCAACATATACTACTAATACTAGTAGTAGTAGTAGTAGTAGTATTACCATTTCTTTTTATAATCATCTACACTCACTCCACCCGGACCATAAGCAACAACTAAACCTAAACCACCAATAACTGACCATGTTTGAAAGAAATCATATTTTAAGAAATCCCACATTAAACTATCATTACTAACAGCCCAAAAACGATTATAATAGAAATTCATACCAGTTAACCAAATAACTAAAACAGTTGCACACAATTTTGTTTTATAACCAATTGCTACTAATAGAATTAAGATTAGGTTGCCAATTGACTAAAAAAGAAGAAAACAAGAAACAAACAAACCATTAATCATACAAAAAAGATAATTCAATTATAGATCAGAAAGGGTTTTGTGGAGATATCAGTATTTTCATAGTTGAAATCATTAGTCAATTGAAGACAAACCACCATGGAAAACCTGGAAGCACTGGACGGTTGTTTCGCCCTATTATGGGACTCCTCAACAGTGCGCATTCATGATCCTGCACTCGCGAGATTGGAGTTCAACCAAGTCTGTTGTAGAGATATCAATTCACGGAAGACAATCGGTGAATGGTTGCTCAAACATTATGGATTGGTTGAAGCTATACATTAACACCATTGGATGTCGGCACAGTGATCTATCGATCAAGTGCTCGGGTACGAGACTGGTAGGTACTGGGTTCGAATCTCGCGTGTGCGGCATCGTGGATACGCACTGCTGAGGAGTCCCATAATAGAGCGAAACGGCCGTCCAGTGCTTCTAGGTTTTCCATGTTGGTCTATCTTCAATTGACTCATGATTTCAACTATGAAAAATTAAATTACAACCATTTGACAGATTGCAACATATACGAAATAGCTGAAGTATCATGTCAGTCAATCACAACTTAGAACTTCGTATGTACGTACGTACATCAGTTCGAGTTGCCATACCACATTATCACAGAGATACAGTTGTCGATTCAAATCCCATAGTGGTAGAAGTAGTAAAAGTATAAGCAGTATGTGAAAGATTAGGGCTTGAAGATGTTATTTAGTGGGTATAATCCACTGAAATACATTTGGAAAGAGAAAAAAAGATAGAGACATGGAGAATTCAGAAGATTCGAATTTGGTAGAACACAAAGAGTGGACGCACCTTCTCCATTGCAAACAATTTTGAGCCATGTCTCTAACCATCGGTTGTTAGCATCTCGCGAATCCCAACCAGGTAGTCTACACCTACGTCTACCAACATGGCTCAGTGACTTCATGGATTTGTGCCACGTTATTAGCACAGATTTGAATTACCTTGTTATTGATATTGTGAACTCAATAGTTGAACAAATTTGTAGCTATATCTAATTAGTGGTTGAGTAAATAACATGTTGAGGCTAGAATGGGAAGATACTTGGATTCGAGTGTCAGTAAAAAAGATTAATCAACCATCTATGAAAGTCATAAACAATCACGAGGTCAAGGAGGAAGAATATGAGAATGAATATTCACCCACTGACAGGACGAGAGTCAGTAATAACAATAACAACCATTTAACTGTAATACGTATCAATACCAAGGTTGGACTTGATAGTCTCAAATAAATTGAGCATAGGGTAGACAGTTAATAATAAATATATTTTCGTTATATCTCAATGAGTAGAAAAATTATATTTCTGACGTTTCGTGACATAATGTAAACCACTTTTTCAGAGTAAATTTTGGTTATTTATTTACCCTGAAGAAGTACCTTACATTAAGTGACGAAACGTCAAAAATATAATTTTACTGATTATTGGAATATAACAGAACTATATTAATCATTACATTTAAATCCAAGATCGATAGAATAAGCCACTAGTCATTTATGAAGAAATTGTGATAGATCAATTTCAACTAAAGTTTATACTGATGTTATCTAGAAACACAACGAAAGTTTAAAGATTCGATCACCAAGCTTAGAGGATACCATTTCAAAAACAATCGTCTTCTTGGGTTACAAATCTTATACACCAATTCAAATTCCCAACTGATGTTGTTTAAACTGTTTGTCTTTAGTTTTAACCAGATATATATGCGCCACACAAATCTCATTTGATTTGTGTAAGGGCTGTGATACTGCTCAGGTGTCCAAACTGAAGCAGGTGGTTTTCTTAGGGAGCCACACCCGGAGCCTTTGACCTAAAGATCTGATCCACAAGGCAGTGGAGCACCGTCAGGAGATGTAGGCCCATGGTAGCCGGTGACCAACAATTGGTTCATACGCCATTTGTTCCCTCGAGATACTAGAGCCCATGATCACCATTGGTTTGTAATGAGGGTTTTCCAACCCTCCCCTAGGTGAATTTTCCGTGTCCACCAACCCCGTTAAAGCGCCGGACATTCGCTTTTCGTCCTTTCGATTTCGTAAACAACAGTAATCCCATGAGAAGGCAGTGAGTAAGACTTCATTAAACTTTTTGTTAAATAGAATTAAAATAAAACAATAACAATAATTTCACAAGAATAATTACTTACTTGTATAACATAAAATATACTACTTCCTAAATGTATTAATGTTACAAACATTAGGATAATAAGTATTCTACCACCAAGTAGAATATATTGTCGATGTGCATTTTCACCAGAAGATGGTAGACCAGCTAATAAACTACGTGTTTCTTGTTGTACTTCAGCTAATAATAATAATAAACTACCAATAAGTGATAGATTACGCATAAAAAATACTTTTGTCCAAATATTATAACCAATAGTCTAAAATAAATAAAAAAAGACAATAGTACAGGTAAACATGATAGTTAGAATACAACTGTATATAATTGAAACCATGAGTCAATTGAAGTTAAACCATCATGGAAAACCTGGAAGTACTGGACGGCAGTTTCGTCTTATTGTGGGACTCCTCAACGGCAGTGCGCACCCACGATCCTGCCTCATGAGATTCCAACCCAGAACCTATCAATCTCACACCAGAGCGCTTAACCTCTAGACCGCTGAGCTAGCCGGCATCCAACGGTGTTAATGTCTAACTTCAACCAATCCACGAAATTGAGCAACCATCTCACCATTGTCTTCAGTGAGTTGATATCTCACAACAGACCTGGTTGAACTCCACTGGTCACTGCTTCTTACTAGAACTCCAGGAAATACCTCATGGAACCAGTCACTAATGAGCATATGATCATCGTTAGAACAGGTTTTGTGGAGATTTTAGTGATGTTATATATACAATTGAATAATGGAAATCATAATGTAGTGAACAAGAGGACGAGTGGGGACAATCGAATGTATTTGAAACGACAATTACAGAATATCTCACTAAAATCTGACAAACATACAGTAAACAGTTAAATTGCAAATTATCAATCATTTTGTCTCAATCTTGACCAATCCTTCTGAAAATATCAATATTATTCATGCATTTTCATACTGACTGTGCTTTGCGTTTCCGTTCTTTCCTCATCGATCTTCTACTGAAATACACTCTACACTTGACCATCGTCATATACTACTTATGTGGATATATGTAACCCACATCACAATAACATTGAGGAGTTTTAAAAAAATTGGTTTTGTTAGGACTTGTACAATCAGACTGATGTCAAAAAGTCTGTGGTGTTTGAAAACTATGAGAGCGATTAAACTGTCGGTTGATGTGTTAAGCCCATATACTTTATTCTAGCTTTTAGACAAGCCAATTTACCCATCCATCTTGAGTCACTTTTAGACCTTGTTAATTATTCACTTATCAACCCTGACTGTTTTTATATGAACTTATGTGTGTACACTTTTTATCTTATTCATCACATGTCTGTAATTTATTTTTATCTGACTATAAATATTGATTAACGCTTGGTTAAAGTGAGTTGGCTTATCCGCTATCTCCAATGTGCATCATTTTTGCTTCACTCTTTTCTATTCGCTTCATCCCCCTGAACTCCTGTCCAGCTCAATGATTGTTCAAAATATATGTATTCGAAATCCATTCTCGTATTTGACTTATCTAACTCCATTATTCATCAACGCAGATTAAGTCTTTTATTACATATGAGGGTAGGCAGGATGCACATTTTGACAACAATCATTCATACGATCTAATTGTAGTCAGATGTTGGCCCCCACTAAAATGGTGGGCCGCATTTGGAACACGCACCATTTCTCTATAAAAATGGTGAACCTGCTCATCGACAAACCTAACACAGCAGTCTATGTTGATGAAGAAACTTCTGCACCACATACTTTCGACAAACAAACTCAGCGAAGCCTATGCAGTACGACATGGACATGCTCAAATCGTATTATCTTATCGATACTTTGTCCTCATGTCAACTCTGCTCATTGATCCATCCAGCGGATTGTTCCATTATGATTCGAAAAATTATATGCTCATTATTACATTAATGTCATATCATCACATAACGTGGAATTATCATTGCTGTTCGTGCTGACATCAAATTTATGAGATTTACACAATCATATCACTCACCGAACAAATTATAATTTTATGGACACTACACGTTATGACATTCGAAACTTAAAAATCCAACTAACTATTATCATAATCTAAAGAACTTTATCTCTGAACCACTAATCGATAAGTCAGTCAGTCAGCTACAACGTAGAACCAGGCACATATATGCGTCGGTCCAAGTTGACATACCTCATTGGCACAACATGATGAACCCAACTAAAGTTAGAACGATCTATGCTAATTAGATCATTATCTAATTGATCGTGATAAAGAAAACGTATATAATTGTCTAGTAAATCTAATCTCAATCTATATCTATATCTGATTGACTGAGATTTGTGCGGTGCATATATATCTGGCGCCCCTGATTGACTGAACCAGTTACTAAGTTTACTAAAATCTAAACAACTCGAAATGAAACATAATCCTAGCAACTAGATGGTTGTTTACGAGTTAAAACCTATCATTCAAGTTGGAGGCTGAATAAATAGTTTGCAGAATATATATTAATCTATATATGAACTGAAATAAGTTAACTCAGCCAGTCAGATACAACGTAGGACTGAATTATCTTTTTTCCATTAGACCGAGCATTAAAATACCAAGATTTAACTTGATAGCTTGGAGTAAATTAAGCGTCTATTAGATCATCGGTGATAATAGTATATCAATACGTGCTTGGAAAAATGTAATTTTCGACGTTTCGTAACTTAGTGTAAGCTGCTTATTTAGAGAGGAATAACCTTCAGCTTTGAATTTATATTAACGTGAAAAAGCGTGTTTTTTTGAAGCATCTTGCACTAAATATAGAAACAACAGAAACTTAACCTTTCTAACCCAGATTATCATTAGATTAAGTTATTGTAAGATGACAATTACTACTAATAGTCTCAGAAGGAAGAGCGAAAATTTCTTCATCGGAAATGTCTATTTAATTTAATATTTAAACGAACCAATAACAACAGTGATGTTTAACAACCTTCATTAACACATTTTTTCGGAGTTTATTAAGATGTTGGGATGAAAAACCTAAGTACATGTCTTACTACAATCCTTACTGAATTCTCCTTAGTAATTTATCAAAATGTGACCACTTTTTGCTGCTACCTTAAAGTGGTGGTCGGGATTGCCTATCGTGGTGAACCAGTCGAGCTATACTGGCTGGAACAATCTTTCCTCAGGGTCCTACTATGCCAGACAGGTGGGTTGAAGAGCGGTAAGACTAAAAGCAGCAAACCCAAGGTCCGAAAGCGAAGTCATACTGCTGACTGTACAGAGGTGTAACGGCAGTAAGGTGTTTCCTTCAGACAACCAGCATAACAGCGATGCTGCCTTCCCACAAGGAGTGGGATTAGAAAAGATCGACCCTAAAAATGCACACCTCGCCTTATCCCACGGATTTCCTTCTCCGGCGGTAAGGTCCTTTGAAGAACGGAGCTAACACAAAAACTACCCACAAAAAGGTCGTGCGTGACTGACCTCAAGCAGGTGTCCCTTGGGCACTGCGGTCACGCTCCCAGGTCGTTAAGACCAACACATAAATATTGGTACAAGGAAGCACCAGATACATATGCGCCATACAAATCTCATTTGGTTTGTGTGAGGGCTGTGATACTGCCCGGGTACCCAAACCGAAGCAGGTAGTTTTCTTAGGGTGCCATACCCGGAGCCTTTGACCTAAAGATCTGATCCACAAGGCAGTGGAGCACCGTCAGGAGATGCAGTCCCGTGGTAGCCGGTGGTCAACGATTGATTCATACGCCATTCGTTCCCTCAGGATACTGGAGGCCGTGTACATAATTTGTTTGGAATGAGGGTTTTCCAACTCCCCTAGGTGGACTCTCCGTGTCTGTGAAGTGACTAGTCAGAACAATCTGATATATATTCGAATACATTTACTCGACATCCTCAATAAATTGTTAGATTAGAACGTTGTTGACTAAATAATTCATAATGCCCGAATATATAAAACTTTAATAAATCGAGTGAAAACGCTGTAAGACAGGATGGTAAGCTCATCAAAAGAGACAATAAATGTACGATAAAAAAGCCCGTAGTGAAAGCGGTAGCCAAATTCATGCCTTTAGAACAATTGTCAGAAATACATAACAAAGTAGAGTTCCTAATATTTCAATATCACAACGAAACCTAGCAATACCATAATACCTCGAGTATTGGGTAGCTTACTAACTCTATGGTAGGAATTATACCAAAAAAAACAATATTAACATGCACGACAATAAACTGGAAATGCGACCCCGAATTAATTATGCATGCACAATAAACATGGCAATGTGAACACTAACTTGTATTAATACAGTTGACATAAGAATTCCAACGCCAATTTTCACACGATAACGACCCAAAACAAGAGCACTTCCAGTAAACTGTAAGCATATGTTCAATAAAATGAAAAAAGCTGCAAATATGACATGGGTTCCCCAGACACCTTGAATATAGTCCACTTGGTCAGACCATTGAGTTAAAAGTCGAAAACCATCTTCAATAAACGTAGATACAAGACAGAATCTAGCTATATGAGGCAAATAGCGTCGACTTTTTCGTATAAGCTGTAAAAATTACGGGATAAAATATACAGAAGTGGTCAAACCGTGAAATGGATAACAAAGTATCTAAACACGGAAATAGTAAATACTACAGCGTTATCAATCTTAAGAATCTTTTGTTTACAGGTAAATATTACTGAATGACCATGGGGAAAACCTAAGTTCTGTTACAATTTATGATGGTTACAATGACAATAACTACGTTTAATGGATTAACTAGTACTCTAGACGAGTAGAAATATGATAAGATGCAGAAATATCATGATTTTATATTTCAAGACCATTAAGTGGATCTTCTTTATGAATACACGAAAATTATATGGTAACGGTATTAGTTAATGGAAGAGCACAGACGACTTAGTGTAGGATTGGGAATTGGTAATAATGACCTATTATTCTTACAAGTCAGTAAGAAACGTCAACTCAAAATCATCAAACCTATGATCATATTGAGTTAAGTATAAAATTATATTAGGTCAACCTCTTGAGATTCATTCATACACCATGAAGGAAAGAGATCAATTAAATAGTATCTTCGGATCGTTATGGTTTCTTAAACCTACTTCGAAGAGCAATTACAATATTTATATCATGCTATTAGACACGTGCTTTTCTACAGCCTACGTTCAAACATATAGTTTCAGTTTGAACTTATGATATGACACTTGTTAGTGAGATGAGACGAATACTGATGATTACGTAACAATCATGAAGACCAAACAATAAACAAATGGTTTAAGATGGGACGAAAAAGTACGCATGAAGAAATATAGGAACCTAAGATTTAACTGAAAATTAATAGTGAGTTGGTCTATGCGACAGTCAGTTAGTCCTACGTTGTAGCTGACTGACTGACTATGCAACAATAATCGATTCTGAGCTATGTCGGCCAACGTTTACAGTCAAAAGTGGTTATCGCACAGACCCTGACAAGATAATGTGCATCTACCAATACGGTTCAGACCGACAGCCAATGACTTGATGGACTGTAATTGCATGTACTTAAGACCGCCCTTAGCTCTGCTTCAGCTTACGCTTACACTAGCGAGGGCTGTATATCAAGGAAGGCTTACTGGGATACGCAGCATCCCGGCAGCCCCAATCTATGAAGACTCACAACATAGTCAACCGATTTTCCATATTTATCTATTACTATATGCCTTACTTCAGAACAGTTCACTCGGTTGTTCCATAAAAAGCAAGAAATGCTTTGAGATCATTGAGTGAAAATCTGCAGCTTACGTATGTTTCCCCTTTCCATAGACCATAAGGTAGTAAAAAATGGATAGCTAAATAATATACTTGTTTCTCAATATGCATACGGACATCTTGTCTATGCCAGAGGTGATGGAAGTTAGGAAAATTGACAGACCTTATGGTATCTGTGAAGAAAACTCGTTAGATACTGTCCTACCAAGGCTGATGGAACTTCCAAGATAAGTGTCGGAGAACACGCTCAGCTACTTTGTTTCCTAAAATCAATTTAGGTGGTGAAGTAGACCAGTCAAGAAGCCACTAGGGGAGAGAAACTGCACTGTTACTCAAGGTGTCCAGAAGACTGTTTCATGTAAGCGTTCTTACTAAAAAGGTCTACATAATTACGCAAAACACAAAGTGAGTGCATATTTTTATCACAAATACGAGAGATGTGTCTATTTTTTTTTCATTACTTTCACTTTAGTGGCTAACTAACTATCAAATCAATGGATTTAATAAGCTAGATTTAGCCTACTGAAACATAAGAAAACCAGATTTACTTATGTAATAAACTTTCCCATGAATACTCATCAAGCAAAAAGACAAGAGGTGGTTAACTTCTCTTAAAATGATTAACACATGTAGAATCCAGCTAAAATTTAGGTAAGCTATGTAATTCACTATAAAAGAGATAAAGTTTTCTATTCACAAAACCAGGTGAAGCAACAAAATATATGATGAAACTTATATTATGGAGAAATATAAGAATACAAATAAACGGGTCAATGTTTGACCAAGATAACAAACGTTGCGTGCACCACAAGCAAGCTAAAAGAAACATTCCGTCGAAATGTGGTAAGAGCTTTCAACACAGGGTATTTGTGAATGACCCATCCTTCAAGTAGTATGAATAGAAAATGTTTAAAATTACTCTGAACAGTTAAATTTTTGGTGTCAGCTAATCAACAAGAATTGGGACAACAGGTTTAGAGGTCAAAATATTACAATTTGTAAGCCATTACTATAATGTATAATGATCGGTCTCTAATATTGAAATGAAACTAAATGGAATGTCTACGAAGTGAGCTTGTAGGAAAGAATGATAATAACGAACTGGAGAACTATATTGACAAGAATAATATTGCTTTCACAGACTGATGTAAAGCTATGCAGTTTGGTTAAGACTACATCGTAGTTATATAAGTGATCAACTGGCGGAAAAATCAGACCTCTGATTAGAAACCTAGTTAAGTACTGAAAATCGAGGAATTAGCCATGTAAATATAGTACCGAGAAGGCCGTACGGGTTTACAAGATGGTCATGAGCAACTTCAAGAGAAACATAATTATTATGAGGTCTATTACGAAAATAATCCAGACTATTTTAGCTTACTTCGACCAAATTTATAGTTATTTTATACGTAGTCAGATAGACTTCTAAGAAATAGGAATAGAGAGATGCTATTCAAAAATTTGCTGACAACTATCAAAAGTAGGAACCATGTTATGTACTGGAAATAATTATTTATATAAACTGAGAATAACAGGAGGACTCAATGGAGTGCTGTAACAAGCCTTATTTGTAAAAAAATATGACCGTAGAATAGCAGAGAAAGTTAAGAATTATTACCCAGTCTGCATGATCTTCCAGTCTATCCAGCAATTCTCTGCTGGTCGAGCTACGCTGCATTATGTCTACCATTATCGAGTAATCAGGCGACAGCTACGCAACGTAGAATAGTTGTGTTGAAAGCTCTCCGTAACGTGATAGTATAAAATACCTTAGATAAACAAATAGATACATTTGGCAATAAGAAATAAAACTCCTTGAGGTTATGTTTTTAGTAGAAACGGATTAGTTAATTAAAATATGTCTTCTAAGAGAGTGAACTTTTCAGCGTGAGTATTCCATAAAAAACATGTGAGTTGTTAGAATTGTTTGTGCGAGGTTAAATGTGTAACAGCGAATAAATCTCCGGAATACTTCCGTACACTTCTAATAATGATGGAGACCTCATCAGTTTTATTAGACACACTAGATCAATGCGAACAGTCAAGCATCCGCACCAAATCATCACAGAGTGAGCCGTAAGGTTAGATCGCCTATACCTAAACTCGTCAACCATTTCTCAAATATATCAACTCTTTTTTCACTCTGGAATGTTAAATAGCTTGATTTTGAATTCTGGTCCGGAAAGAAGTTTCGAACTACAGCATTTCAACTACTGTATATTCATGATATTTGTATATATGTATTTAATTCTTTTTACTATAAATAGTTTTGTTGACTGACGTTTCGTACCGCCGATAAATGCATAAAAATGTTAGTAACTTCGTAAATATATCAACATCTTGGTGTCAGTGGGCTCATTTCCATGTGCAACTAAACGAACTGTTTTTTATTATTGCCTATGTTATTGATTTATTGTCTTGAGTTATCCGTCTGAAAATATTCCATGCTGAGTACCAGGTGAGCAACAGGATCATACTCAAATGGTTCAAATGGTTGGGGACGGAATAGAAGAAGCTTTCGCTTAACGGGCTTCCGTGTCTGGTAGCAGTGGATCACCAATACTTCCACGCAAAAACCTAGGTATATTAACGATAATAGAGGAAAAAAGAATTTGGTAAATCACAATAATATGTTATCCTTAGTCCTTAAGAATAAGTCAAGTTTCCTCTTAAAAGACTCCTGGGAGGTCGCTTGGACTAGCTCAATCGGCAGCGAATTCCAGAACTTGACAACTCTAACGGAGTAGAAGTTGTATCTGCAGTCTGTTCTGCTATGTAGGGTCTCCAATTTCTAGGTGTTACCTCTCAGGTTAGTGTTATGACTAAGCTTAAGAAGATGTTTAAGGGGATGACCAGAAGTATTAAGGATACTGTAAGTCATAAGAAGATCACCTCTAAGACGCCTGTACTCTAACGGGTAAAGGTTAAGTGATTAGAGGCGCTCTTCATAAGGTTTGAATTTGAGTCCCCGAACTGATTTCGTGGCTCGACGTCGTATACGTTCCAGGGTGTCCTTGTCCTTATGGAGGGAGGGAGGAAATACTATGTTTCCGTACTCTAAATGGGGACGAATAAAACTGTTGAAGATTATATGGAAGGTTCTACCGTCAAGCTGGTCAAATGCGCTTCAATGTTACCATTGCAGGGTTCGCTTGAGAGGCGTTTTTGTCACAGTTCGCATACGATTTCAGGTCATAGGGTACCAACACTCCTAAATCTTTTTCAACTTGGGAAACTTTTAACTAAATGAGCACAAAAAAATGTATTATATTCGACTCTCCGACTTATAACATCTTCCACAATTGTTTTCTCTACGATATATATCTGTAATCACTGTGAAGATGTTCAACCAAAATGTTGAGTGTGTGTTGGCACTTCTCTACTGAATCGTATAGTCATAGGCACTCAAGCCAATACTCCATCGTTGAACCATAGTAGCTGAGGAATGTGCGAATGATTTTTCAGGATGAAGAACTAACTTGAATGTTTCATGATCTGTAACAATAGTGAACGTCTCTCGAAATAAATGTTAATGACAGCGAAAAACACAGCTAATGATTCTCACAGCGTTTGTGAATATCCTTGTTCAGCAACAGTAAGTTTGCGTGAAACACGGATAACTGTTATGCCTTCTTGTTTCAAAACTCCACCAATACTCATTGTTGATGTATCAGTATGAAGTACAGGATGTACATTTAAGGTGTAAGTTCGAAGAACAGAATCATTCGAAAGAAGCTTTAGTAGATATCGAGAGCATGACTCTTGTTCCTCACCCCATTTAAATGAATTGAATGTCAAAATTTGAAAAAAACACAATTGGCAGGATAAGAAAAATTGGGAATAAAACGGAAATAATATTGAAGAGCACCCACCAGTGGACGTAGTTCTGTAAGTTTTTTCTGAGATGGTGCATTTGTCAGCGAACTTAGTCTTTGTATATCTATAGTAAAACGTATACCGTCAACTAGGTATCCAAGACATTCAAAACTAGAAACACAAAATGAACACCTACTTCGATTCACCGTCATATTCTTCTCAAGTAAACGACGCAATAAAGCTATAAGTTTCTGATCATCAATTGGCCAGTTTATCAGAACCATGAATAATAAGATCATCTTGATAAACTTCAACACGTTTAAGATCACTGACTTCCTTATTCATCACTTCCTGAAATATGACTAGAGAACAACTTAGGCCAAATAAAGAAAGCTCTATTTGAACAGAACAGAAGGAGTGTTAATAGCTGGCAAAATAGATGAAGATTGATTTAGGTGATTTGAAGATAAGCGTCTTTAAAGTCAACTTTCACGAACACTTTAGAACTATGAATTCAATTAGGAATACCTAAAGATTCCCCCATCGTGCATGTTTGCTTTAATAAGCAGTAGTTCATTGTTCATCTGTAGTCACCACAAATTCTACGGGTGTTGCCATCAGAATTCAAGGACGTAACAATAAGAGTACCACATATAGAAGAATGAATCGGTCCAATTATACGTTTCTCACACAAATCGTTGAACGTCTTATAAAGTGTTCTTTTGGAAGACCATAAGGAATCATTAGTCTCTTGAGAAAGACTGGATCATCCTGTACTGTAAGTTTTGTAGGCTGCATTTTCATCCCTCCACTGCACTAAGCACACGCAACTATCAAACCTTTAACTGAAACATCAGAGTCTTCTTTAGAAAGTAATGAAAACAACTCCACTTTAGGCCTTTTCACATTTTGCTAGTCCAGTATTCACAGCCCTACTTCACATTTTTCCACGTGGATCGGAACCGTACTTAAACAAACGCGAGCTTGTACGACATTCAGAATGTTGTTCATCACGACGACTAACCGAAGTATTAAAAATGTTCATTGACTAGAAATCAAGCTCATTCACTGCACCATAGTTACTACATACTATTTTAATTTCTCGGAATGAACGTATATATTTGTGAATTAATTGTCTTTGAAAATTCAGAATATTTATATTAGCAACCAACCGACCATGAAGTTGAGTTTCCAATTGTTTTCAAAAATTGCACTTCGAGTACTGTTTCTGTAGTTCAAGCGTAAGGTCTTCAACTTTCTGATCATTTTGTCGCATCATCTTATGGAACTTCTATCTGTTTCTGCATTTAAAACTAGCACATTGCACATGACTAAGTAGTGATTCCTTGAGAGATTCACATGACAATGAAATTGGTTTTTGTGGAAAAGCCATATACTTGAGCAGGTTCTAAGTTTCTTTGATGGTGACAACCAGCAAATAAGCTGTGAATCCATCATTGTTAATATCTTTTCCGTTCATGCACCAGAATTCACATCGCTCCATGTGGTCTTCAAACTTATCCGCACTTGAACTAATATCCAACAATTTGAGAATTGGATCAATCGCAACGTCAGTATTATAATTAGAAGTATTCGAATTAATGTACTGAAGAGGAAATTCCGAAACAGTCCTATTTAAGGCAGTCAGAACAAGGTGAGCACAAACGAACGTGTTATGTTCGCAATTGGTAATCAGAGCGCAATCACGTACGAAGGAATCATTAGTTAGTACAATTACCACAGCTACATAACCGAACAACTCGTACATTTCACTGACCCTACCCAGTGGTGAGACTTTTACAAGTACGCCCTATGCTGCCCACATTCACTATCTACCAATTAACACAATGAAAACACAAATGTGGATCGTTTTAAAATTACATCATACAATGTCAAATCACATTTGTACAAGATAAGAATCACATGCTTGATACCCTATTGTGATAACTATTACCCTAATTATTATGACGCTCATCTTGATAATTAAAATACTAGATAGCTAATTGCAGACATGATGATCGTCACAACATATAGTGAAACAGTCACCATAACCTTTAACACAATATATGAAACGTTCATCATCACAGTAGTCATCGAAATATAGAGCAAAAAAGCTAACATGATATTCCGAATAATAGGCGGAATAGTTGTTCTCATCAAGCTAAGTATAACGAAAACAATGATGGTGAGTAAGAGAGAGGTCATAATTGTAATATTTGCACAAATGATATAGACAGAAAATCGCAGAGGAAAAATACACTTTCAGCCTTCCCGAAAATTCCAAATCTAGTATTGACTATTCTGTTTCATTTATGTAAATTTTATAGGGAATGTTTAAACTGAAATCACCGGTAGAATACTTCCTGCTGTAATATACTACTTTTACATCATATGACTAGGGTTGTGGAATTAGTGCAGCTCCTGTTGACACCGCTTTATCTCCAACATCAATAATGCTTCGACTTTTGTTGTAGTCAGCAAAAATCAACCTGAACATCATCACAGGGCAAGATATTTTCGAATATTCTGTTTTCTGGAGATTCTTGATAGATCTCACTGACTATTTCTATCAGTTATTGTGAACACTCTGTGTAAGCTTATATCCCTCACATTGACGATAGTCTATAGAAACTCATTCTTCATCCTTCATTATTATGAAGAGGATTGTAATCTTTGTCAGCCTTCAGCGTCTTCATCTGAGATGTAATATTTTCAATAAGAAAATTTTCCGAACATTCTGAGATACTGTGTGATTCCTCATTGAATAGTACACCTGACCTAGATCACTTTCACCTAGTACTTCCAATGGAAACGATATGCAATATAGTAAAATATGTCAAATAGACGATCTCGTACTCCGATGATAAAACATAATCTATATTCCATTGGATAGGTTGCTTTTTATGAAACCACTTTTGGTTACGCCTCTGTTTTTTTTCTTTTTGTAATTAGTTTTCTTACTATTTGCACTTTTCATCAATCACCGACATTGAAGAACAACGCAACAGGTGGGTAGAACACTTCAAAGAACTCTTGAATCGACCAGCTCCATTGAACCCACCCAACATCGAATCAGCACCCACAGACCTCCTAATCGATGTTGGCCCACCAACAATTGAAGAGATCAGCATGGCCATTAGACAAGTCAAGAGTGGCAAAGCAGAGGGACCAGACAACATTCCGGCAGAGGCACTGAAAGCAAATGTAACAGCAACTGCCAAGATACTCCACATTCTCTTCAGTAAGATTTGGGACGAAGTACAAGTACCAACAGACTGGAAAGAAGGACTTTTCATCAACATACCAAAGAAAGGCGATCTTAGCAAGTGCGACAACTACAGGGGCATCACTCTGCTCTCAATACCGGGAAAAGTCTTCAACAGAGTATTGTTAAACAGGATGAAGGATTCCGTGGACGCCCAACTTCGAGATCAACAAGCTGGATTTCGTAAGGATAGGTCGTGCACAGATCAAATTGCAACTCTACGTATCATTGTGGAACAATCAATCGAATGGAATTTATCACTCTACATCAACTTCATCGACTACGAGAAGGCATTTGATAGCGTGGACAGGACGACACTATGGAGGCTTCTTCGACACAACGGCGTGCCTGAGAAGATTGTCAATATCATACGGAACTCCTATGATGGACTAAACTGCCAAATCGTCCACGGAGGAAAACTCACCGACTCGTTTCAAGTAAAGACCAGTGTTAGGCAAGGTTGCTTACTCTCACCCTTTCTCTTTCTCCTGGTCATCGACTGGATTATGAAGACGTCAACATCTGGAGGAATGCACGGGATACAGTGGACAGGCAACGCTCGTCTATTTGACATATTTTACTACATTGCATATCGTTTCAATTGGAAGTACTAGGTGAAAGTGATCTAGGTCAGGTGTACTATTCAATGAGGAATCACACAGTATCTCAGAATGTTCGGAAAATTTTCTTATTGAAAATATTACATCTCAGATGAAGACGCTGAAGGCTGACAAAGATTACAATCCTCTTCATAATAATGAAGGATGAAGAATGAGTTTCTATAGACTATCGTCAATGTGAGGGATATAAGCTTACACAGAGTGTTCACAATAACTGATAGAAATAGTCAGTGAGATCTATCAAGAATCTCCAGAAAACAGAATATTCGAAAATATCTTGCCCTGTGATGATGTTCAGGTTGATTTTTGCTGACTACAACAAAAGTCGAAGCATTATTGATGTTGGAGATAAAGCGGTGTCAACAGGAGCTGCACTAATTCCACAACCCTAATCATATGATGTAAAAGTAGTATATTACAGCAGGAAGTATTCTACCGGTGATTTCAGTTTAAACATTCCCTATAAAATTTACATAAATGAAACAGAATAGTCAATACTAGATTTGGAATTTTCGGGAAGGCTGAAAGTGTAAACGTCATTATTAGCTTCCAAAGAAGAATGTGATGCTTTACTTAAAAATTTGATAGCTGTGTGTGCTACCAGTGCTACCAGTCAGATTGTTTGCCAATATATGAATAGTGGAGATTTGGAATAAAGCACAGAAACACCAAGAGGAGTCGCATACAAATTAACTCGAATTACACGTCTGACGATTGTTTGTCGCATTATTTTTAGCATCATATTTACAGACTAAATCAAAGGTCTATCGATCAATTAATATACAGCTAATTGATTAGCATTCAATTCAATTGTATCGATCGTGTAAATTCAAATGTAAATTGAATGTATTAATAAGCATGCAACAGTTAGAAAAATCAGTTGAGTGTTGGATACGTAGGAGACGGCTGTTATTTGTCTTCTGCGAATTTCATTGAAAGTATTGCAATAATGCAATTCTTCATAATCAATGTTACACTTTTGGTTATGATGACATTGTACAGGACAATGACTGACGAAATTATTCAAAATATCACAATGAATATGTTCTACACATTGGTGATAATATCAGTTATAGAGAAGTTAAAATATATTGTGTTAAAAGTTGATGATTATAACGAAGCTTCTGCTGCTGCTGCTGCTGATGATGATGAGGATGAAGAGGTTGAAGCGTATGATGAAGATTATGGACATGATGAGGTATGTGAGGATGTTGATGATGATAATGGTGAAGATGATGAAGTGGATGATGAAGATTTCGGATACGACGAGGTTTGTGAAGATGATGATGATGATGATGATGATGATGATGATGATGATTTGGATGATGATGATGATGATGATGATGATGATGATGATGATGATGATGATGATGATGATGATGATGATGATGATGATGATGATGATGATGATGATGAAGTGTTTGAAGCGTGTGATGAAGATTATGGACATGATGAGTTATGTGAGGATGTTGATGATGATAATGGTGAAGATGATGAAGTGGATGATGAAGATTTCGGATACGACGAGGTTTGTGAAGATGATGATGAAGATGATGATGATGATGATGATGATGATGATGATGATGATGATGATGTTGATGATGATGAAGAAGAAGAAGAAGTATATAACAATGATGAGGATGATGAGAGTGATACGGTTGTGGCGGGTGAGGATGATGAAGAGGGTGTTGAGAGTGATACTGTTGTCGAGGATGAGGATGATGGTTATGATAAAGTATGTGAAGACGATGATGATGAGGATGTTGAGGTTGATGAACATGATGATGATGATGATAAGGATGATGATGTTGAAGCGGATGGTGAAGACGATGGATATGATAAGGTTTGTGATGAGGATGATGTTGATGAGGATGATAATAATGAAGCGATTGATGAAGATTATGGATATTATGAGCTATATGACGATGATAATGATGAAAATGATGAAGCAAATGATGAAGATTATGGATGTGATGAGGTTAGTAACGATGATGAGAATGATAATTATTTTGCAGATGATGAAGCGGATGATGATGTTTATGGATATGATGAGGTTTGTGAAGATGCTGCTGCTGCTGCTGCTGATGATGATGATGATGTTGATAATAATAATAATAATAATAATAATAATAATAATAATAATAATAATAATAATAATAATAATAATAATAATAATTTGATAATAATTCTTATTTTGATTTTCTATCAATTCTCCTTTGATTGGTATAGGATGAAGGTATTCAAAGAAGGAGAATACAGAATGGAACAATTAAGAAGAATGTGATTTTGATTGTGTACAAATTTGATTTTACATTGTATAATATAATCTTAAAATAATGCACATTTGTGTTTTCATTGTGTTAATCGGTAGATAGTGAATGTGGGCAGCTTAGAGCGTACTAGTTAAAGTCTGACCACTGTGTAAGTTCAGTGAAGTGTACGAGTTGCTCGGTTGTGTAGCTGTGGTAATTGTACTAACTGATGATTCCTTCGTACGTGATTGCGCTCTGATCACGAATTGCGAATATAATACGTTCATTTGTGCTCACCTAGTTCTGACTTAACTGCGCCTGTAGCTCTTCTAGAGTTACTGCCGGTCTCAAGCCCGGGTAAAGGAGGAGGGTTGGGCATGGGGTTAGCGACCCCATCCCGTAGAAAAGCTAACTCGCTAAAAAAACGCTAACCAGAAAAAATAATAATTCAAACCATTTAAACTCTGCCCTCCAAGTTGACGGAATCATTATGACGTCTCATGATGAAAGCCGAAATTCTTCGGAAGTCACGAGATCGATGCACCTTCTAACAACCAGAACAACACTCTTTATAGGTACATGGAACGTCCGGACAATGTGGGAGACAGGAAAGACCAGCCAAATAGCAATGGAAATTAGGAGATACAAATTGGCAGTACTCGGAATCAGAGAAACCCATTGGACACAAACTGGACAACAAAGGCTAGGTACAGGAGAGATGCTGCTGTACTCCGCTCACGAAGGGGAAAACGCTCCACACACTCAGGGAGTTGCTCTAATGCTGTCCAAAGAAGCACGAAATGCACTTGTGGGATGGGAATCTCATGGACCCAGGATAATCAAAGCATCATTCAGAACAAAGAAGCAAGGGATCACAATGAACGTTATCCAATGTTATGCACCCACCAATGATAGCAACGACGATGATAAACATCAGTTCTATGAAAGGCTTCAATCAATTATACAGAAGTGCTCACGAAAGGACCTCACCATCCTGATGGGAGATCTAAATGCTAAAGTTGGAGTGGACAACACAGGATATGAAGATGTAATTGGACGACATGGATTAGCAGAGAGAAATGAAAATGGGGAGAGGCTTGCAAACCTATGTGCATTCAACAAATTGGTTATAGGCGGCACAACATTCCCACACAAACGCATACACAAAGCTACATGGATCTCACCGGACCACACCACAGAGAACCAGATAGATCACATCTGTATCAACAAAAAATTCCGAAGATCAATGGAAGATGTGAGAACCCGGAGAGGAGCTGACATAGCTTCAGATCACCACCTGGTTGTGGCCAAGATGAGACTGAAGCTTAAGAAACACTGGAAAACTGGACAAACAGCACTACAAAGGTTCAATACAGCCCTCCTTCGAGATACTGACAAGCTCCATGAATTCAAGATAACTCTCAACAACAGGTTCCAAGCTCTACAGGATCTATTGAGAGAACAAGAAACTACTTTGGAGGACAACTGGAAAGGGATAAAAGAAGCACTAACTTCAACGTGTCAGGAGGTTCTTGGTCCTAAGAAGCATCATCACAAAGAATGCATCTCTATGGGAACCCTGGACAAAATTCAACAAAGGAAGAACAAGAAACTAGCAATTAACAACAGCCGAACACGAGCAGAGAAAGTCAAAGCACAAGCAGACTACGCAGAAGGTAACGGGGAAGTGAAGAAAAGCATTAAAGCCGACAAGCAGAAATACGTGGGAGAACTAGCAACGGCGGCGGAAAAAGCTGCAAGAAAAGGCAATATGAAACAACTATATGATACAACGAAGAAATTGGCAGGGAGATATAGCAAACCAGAGAGACCAGTCAAGGACAAAGAAGGAAAGACAATCACTGAGATTCAAGAACAGAGGAAAAGATGGGCAGAATACTTCGAGGAACTGCTGAATAGACCAGCCCCATTGAATCCACCGAACATCGAAGCAGCCCACACTCACCTTCCAATAGATGTCACTCCACCAACGATCGAAGAAGTCAAGATGGCCATCAGACAAATCAAAAGTGGGAAGGCGGCAGGACCTGACAATATACCAGCAGAAGCACTGAAGTCAGACATTGAAATTACTGCAAACATGCTTCACCTTCTATTCAAGAAGATTTGGGAAGAGGATCAGCATATTTACAACTGAAGAACATCTGGAACTCAAAACGATTGTCAACCAACACTAAGATCAGAATGACCAGACACTATCAGCAACAACCTACTGTGCGAGACAACAAACCAGATTCCAGCGAGGAAGAAACCGAGAAGAGGCTCTGAAAGTGGAAAGGACACACTTTGAGGAAATCACACAACTGCGTCACAAGCGGAGCCCTCACATGAAGTCCCGAAGGCCAAGAGAATAGAGGAAAACAAAACAACACATTACGTCGAGAAATGCAGACACATACGAGATGAATGAACAAAAATTGCACAGAACTAGAAAGGTAGGCCCAGGACATGGTGGGTTGAAGAATGCTGTTCGGCGGCATATGCTCCATTTGGAGGAACAGGCGTAAGTTAGTAAGTAAGTAAGTGTCAAGGTCCCGTTTGCAAAGAGAGAGCAGACAGTTTCACAAGTGGAATATCTGAGCCTGCATAAACATATAGAAAAGGATGAAATCCTATGAACTCCATGAACTCTCTGTACCCTGAGAGTATTTACAGCCTTACTAATTTTTAAGCATGTGAAGTAGATAAATGTTAATGAGTCAGTTGACACACACTTGAATCTTAAAATAATTTCTTTTTAGAATTCATTACCATTCTTAAAAATATCACCGAAAAGTTATGCTGAAGTTTTAAAGCCGTATATAAAAGTTATGTTATGCAAGATCACATGGTTTGTCAACATTTTGAGTTGGTTTAGCGCGTTTGTTGTTATCTGTGAAACTGCCGTGAAATAGTTTGACTTGAAATAACGTTTCTGTAATCGTCTTAGTTTATTACGATATTTCGCTGGTATATATAATTCGTAAGGTTCACTAAACCTGAACGTTTTAAAGGTGCACTGAAATATAGACATGAGTTAACAATCAAATAGAATTTGTCAATGGCTTCCATAAAAATATTGAATGCGAAAAATTCATTACAGTCTGAGAGTTTGATCAGCGAGCACATGAGGTACCAGTCCGCAATGTAATAGTTTCTATATTGGCAGGTTTTTTAATGTGTAGGTTATAAGAGGCATAGATAGGGAGAGCACGAGCTGCTACCATGTTTCTGTGATAAGTATGAAAGAAGTCTTGCTTAGTGAAACTAGGAATTTGAAGGCTGAAAGCCACGTGAATCTCTATTTTTATCAGATAGATTAATTGGCAAAAATTGATTTGCTGTACAGGCAGGAAAGGCAGCAGCTTGTTGATGTTCGGTTGATGGTACTTAACCTAGTAGGCCATATTTTCTATGGAGAAAGTGGTGTGAAAAAGTATATCTGGCAGATTTTGACATTTAAAACTATAGAGGGTTACCGTGGGAATGGTGGAACTCTGTGGTCTGTCCAATATACTTTCTTATAACAAGGTACCGACATCGTATTCTTAATTGTATTTTTAATAGCCTTCACGCTGGAACTTGATAATTAGGTATGGGTTTCTAATGTTACACGGAAAGATATCGGATAAATATCTCAAATAATAATAATAATATATTCTGGAAATAATATTTACAGAATTCACACCAGTTTACAGGCATGATCAGATTGTTATAAAAATCAACATTTAATGTAGAGAACAAACATGAAATATAAGAAAGTTTTATGTTTGCTGGTTTAGTAATTGATAAATAGTTTAAATATGGCATATGTCACGGCAAGCCAATGCAACACCAGGGAACTTGTCATTTTTTTATTAAGTGGATAGCCTGATGATTGATCAACATTGTTCTGTAAGGTTATTTCCAGTGCCAGAGCGAGTTATTATTAATTATCTACAACTATAGAAAGTAAGATTAAAGCAAAGAGCACTGAACAACAAAATAATGATAGCAAGTAAGAGGTTAAACATTTAAAGTTCCTATAATCTCACTTGTGGAGTAAGATACACTTGCAGGCGCTAGAGCATTTAATGCATTTTCAGAGGAGCAAAAAGCATTAATTGAGCGAACAAACAATGGGAGAGAGTTTAACATACGGATAGTTTGGGGTAAATTATTCCAGAGCCTAGAAAACTTACAGGTAAAGTAATTCATATAGAGAGAAGATCTAGAATATGTTTGTTTCGCTAAAGACAAGGAGTTACGAATGTCGTAATGTGGGGCTTTAGCATATTGAATCGCCTGATTGGATGTGAAGGAGAGTTTGTTAAGTATTTTGAAAAAGAAGATAAGGTTAAGTTTGAGTCTCCTCATCCATAAAGGGTCAAGCCCTAGTTTACTACACCTCGAATTATATGTCAAGACACTAGCAGTTCCAAGAGTACGAAATATAGATCGTCTCTGTACTGATTCCAGTCTTAATTTATCCTTTATGCGCGTGCTAATAAGGAGAAACGCACAGTATTCGAGGAGTGGTCGAACACAGACTTTGCACATTAGAATACGAGATTCGCTGTTATGAAGGTTTCGAGTTATGAAACCTATAAGGCGTTGAGACTTGGACGTTTGTTTCATTATCTGTTCAGTAAACGACAAGTCGTCGGAGTACCTAAGTCCTAGATCTACTACTGTGTGTAACCTAGATAACATTTCCCCATTTATGGTAAGATTGAGGTTGAGTGATGTATCACCGAAGCATAACCAACCACATTTAGCTGTATTGAGCTCCAGTTGCCATTTTGAGCACCACTGTGCTACCTTGTTAAGCTCCGTGCTGATACAATTTTCAATATTGCTCAGCTCATGTGGAGAAAATGAGTACACCACCTTAAGATCGTCTGCAAACAAAAGGGACTTACCCACACTAAAACACTCACAAATATCATTAATGAAAACTAAAAAGAGCAAAGGACCTAAGACACAACCCTGAATTACACCACTTCTAACAGGGACTGAGTTCGACAATGAAGAGTTGATTTTAACTATTTGA